ATAAAATAAAATAAAATAAAAATCTTCCTTCTTCCAGTATTGCACCACAGCATTGTCTTCTTTCTTTGGTCTTCCTCACCTATTGGTTCTGGGTACCAGATAGAATAGAAGAAACCTTGTGTTTATGAGGTAACAAACGCATATTGAATGGATTCTGGTCTCATATTATGCTGAGGTTTATGTTACTAAGATTTTTATTTTATTTTATTTTAGTTTTAGTTTTTTCCAGAAGTGATATTCAGCAGGTTCTGACCAGTTCTGGAGAACCAGTAGCGGAGATTTTGAGTAGTTCGAAGAGGCGGTAAATACCACCTCTGACTGGTCCTGCCCCCATTTGCCTCCTGAGTCCCAGCTGATCGGGAGGAAATAGGGATTTTGCAGTAACCTTCCCCTGGAGTGGGGAGGGAATGGAGATTTTATAGTATCCTTCCTCTGGAGTGGGGTGGGAATGGAAATTTACAGTATCCTTCCCCTGCCATGCCCACCAAGCCATGCCATACTCACCAAGCCATGGCCACAGAATCAGTAGTAAAAAAAAAATTGAATCCCACCACTGGTTTTCCCCCCTAAGATTTTATTTATGTAGGCATGGCATACCCATCTTTCCTGTGAAAGCTCAATGCAAATTATATGAGGATCTTACTCATTCTTCGTCCGTCAACAACCCTGTGAGATGGAGGGATTTAGGAAAACAACTGACCCACAGTAAACCCACTATGGCTGACCAGAAACTTAAAACTAGGATTGATTACCCCATCTAAGCACACAGCTGATTACAAAACACACTAAGGACATTATTTGCAATCTCCTGGCACCCTAGATTTATATTTGATCACAAAAAAAACCTGATTTCTGCAGGTTCCCCCACTCCTCTAAAATAAGGGTCCGGAGAGGAGCAAGGATACTCTTATGAGACAAGATACCACTATTTCTATCCTTAAAATCCAGTGTAAACCGTCAAAAACAGCCCAAATTTGGGGTGCTGAAATGCGGCCATTTTACTGCTGAATTTCAGTGATGGAACGTTGTTTTCTTCCTCTTAATTTCTATTTTTTTCTCCCCCTGTGCAGTTATGTGTTGGCATTCACTATAGTATTATTTAAACTTTTGGGTCTTCTGAGTGTTTATTTGCCCTTGTGTGCTGCTCAGAGCCATTCAGATTAAGGCATTTGGTAAATGCTGCAAAATAAATAAGAGTCCAGATTTGAGGATGTGTAGATGGGGTGTATGGATCAGAATCAATACATGTTTTGTGCAATAAGTGACAGCTCACAAAAGCTGCTTCTATAGAAAATGTGTCGGTCTTTTTCATGCCACAGATCTTCTTGTTGCCTTTGCGGGAAGCCAATATTGTTGCTGTTGCAGCATCCTACTGAATAGTTAATCACAGATGCGTTTAATTTTGCAGAGATCTCGTTACAGAATGCTAGAGGGCAGTGTTTGCAAAATATTGTCACTGGTACCCATTTGCTCTCTTTTTTCCCACAGCGCTTTTGCAATCTGCCTTTCTTATTTAAACCAGTTCCTCTAATCTGGTCATTTCATTGGTGGTGCAAAGTCACAATCTAGCAGTCAATGGGCTTCTGCTCTTCTGCTCGTTTACTCTCTTGGTGGTACTTTGATAAATTTCTACGAGAACTTATTTGTGGGAGCAGCACTTGTGCTCATTAAACTAGTAACTGCGGAGTATCTCCTTTAGATGCAGTAGGGACAAATATTCTCGCAAGTATACTAAATCTGTCGTGTCACTCCAATGTCCTTTGTATTATAAATATCTATATGTATTTAGAGCTGTATGAGCTATAATTTAGATGAAAGGGGAGACTAAGGACATCATTTAAGAAGGTAACTGCTTGGAGTAACAATAAACCAATACCAGATGCTGCAGTTCAAACTCAGGGGTGGGTTTCAACCGGTTCGCGGCGGTCCCTGTGAACCGTTTGGTCGCCGAACCCGGAAGTAAGTAACTTCCGGGAACAGCGAAGGGCCCGCCTGCACACCCGCGGTCCTTACCCGGTTTTGACGAGTTCTGCGCTTCCACGCATGCGCAGGACGCATACAGCGCCTGCG